CCAAATGGTACCAAATTGAAGTTACGTTCTAGGAGAGGAGAATCTATGTAATTATATATGTTATGTTTCGTATTATATAAAAATAAAAAATAAAAACGAAATTGCTACAAAGACAGTGTTTTAATGGCTACGACGCGAGTATGTTGGAAGGTTGTTACGGGGAGCTTAAAAATCAACATTGACAATTGCAATATCAATTAATAGAGAACTCATCAATAGGATACAAGTATAAATTATATATGTAATGCAAACATGTACAATTCGAGTTCATAACTTGCAATTTTGAGATTTCAGATTAATAGGATACGTACAAGCTTTCACGTAATAAACGTTGATGGAGTATATGGCCCGGGACACCCCGGTCCACAGAATCCTGCTTCTTCTACACAGGTCCATCAAACCCGATGAGCACACAAAGCCCAAACGTAGCGGCCCAAACATGAAGAAGCCCACGCTGCACACGTGGATGCCTTCGGCCCTATGGCCGAGTGCTCCAAATTCTGAGAGACATGTTAATATGGTCCTGCAAAACTTCTGGAAAATCTTGGCTAAAATGTTAGCCTTCGGCCACATGATGCCTTCGGCCACACGATGCCTTCAGCAACATAACTATCAATGAAGATTCCTTTTAGAGACAGCCAACCACTGCATTTAATACGGCGTCACATCCACCCACCGCATTTAATACGGTGCAAATGCATATGTCGGTGCCACTCCGATTGAGGTGACCCCTCGGCCGTTAGATTGTTGACACGTGTACTCTCATCGCATTTATAGCTGCTATAAATAGCAGCCCTTATTCACCTTGTAAAAGGGAAGGAGTTCACATATCAAATATACGCTCTCTCTCTTACTTATTTGCTCTGACTTCTCTCTAAGTTATTACCGCAATAACCCCTCGGATAAGCTACCCCCGGGTACACTATCCATCATTTGGTGCTCTCGTTTAGAGGTCGAATAATCAAGTAAGAAACTCTCCCCTTCGGAAAAACAAAAACACTCATCAAAATGGGAAGAGCGACTCGTGCCCAATCCAAGGCCGAAGCCTCCAACAAAGCCTTCGGGATTGACACTGCCGAGGTCTCCAACAAAGCTCCTGAAGACGGAGCCCTCGCCGAAATAGTGCAGGCCACTGCAGACCTGCCCCTTCAGCTCCAAGAGAACGTTCTCGATGCCTGCCTCGACATCGAGGCCCAAAGGAAAGATCGGGGTGAGATTCAGGTGAGCCCCCCGGTCCTCACCGCCGATATGCAATCGGTCCTATCTGCCTTCATCCACACGCTCACCCAAAATCCCGGAGCCTTCGGAACTCTGGTACCGCCCCCGGCCCATGCCGAGGGGAACATCGTCCCTTTCTCTCTGCCCCTCCTCATCTGTTGGTCATGAATGTACGCAACGATGAGGGGGTCAGGGCTCAGGACACGACCTCCCGCTCCGATCCTGCTTCCCCTCCCCGAGATGGACCGGCCCCAATGTGTAGACCTTCGGCCTTCAATAGGTTAGGGGATGCGCACCGTCGGCCAGCATCGGAGAGGCTGGCGGGACGGATGGTTCAACGTGAACCTATCTCATCGAGGGAGAGCTTTGGGTCTGTATCCTGGACAGCGGATCGGCCCCATCTTGACAAAGGCAAAGGCAAGCTACATGAGGAGGACGCACGCCACCACATCAATGCGACTCGTAACCAGGCCCCTGGCGCCGCCATAGACGTCGAGGACCCTCGGAACGAAATCATCGCCCAACTTGAAAGAAGGCTCGCTGAGATGGAAGCAAGAGAAATGGCTGCCACTCCTACGGCAAACTCATCGGGGAATCCCGGCTTTGACGCCCTCATGAATAAACTCAGTGCTCTGGAGAGGGAATTCGCTACGGGGCGCGGTGACCCCATCATCCAGGTCAGGACCAAGACCCCCTTCACTACCAGAGTGCTCTCGGCCCCAATACCCTAGAAATACCGGGGAAGCACTATGAAGCCGTATGACGGCTGCACTGACCCCGAGGAACATTTCAGCCAATATTAAAACAACATGCTGATGGTCAATGCATCTGACGAATATTTATGTCGTTGGTTCCTCTCCACTCTCAAGGGACTGGCGTACGAATGGTTCAACGCGTTGCCCGAGAGGAGCATAGACTCATGGCAAGATCTTGCCCAGCGCTTCCTCACCCATTTTGCCGGAAGGAAGCGCGCGAAAAAGCACTTCTCCTACCTCCTCTCCGTCAAGCAACAACCTGACGAAACACTTCGGTCCTTCATTGACCGGTGGATGAAGGAGACATACGAGGTCGAGGGCGCCGACGAGCGTACCCTCCTCGTCCTCTTCCAGGAGGTTCTCCGCAGCAGCCCCTACGCACGGAGCCTCATCACCGACCCCCCAAGATCATACCTCAAAGCACTCCAGCGGGGGAGCCTATACGCCGACGCCGATGACCTCCACTCCTTCAAGAAGGACGGAGGCCAGCCCTCGAAGAAGACAAACAACACGCCGGCCCCGAATGCGCCCTTGGTCGGGGGCCGAGACCATGGAAGCCACACCCAGCAAGGCCGGAATGACCGCCAATGGCGCCCTCGGTTGGACATGCCGAGGACTCCCCTCACGCACCCGGTGAGCACTATCCTCAACTATGCGGAAGAGCAGGACCTTTTCCCGAAGGACCCTCGGTAGGCGAGAGAGATCAACGCCGTCCACCAGGGCGGCACTTATTACCGTTACCACACAAGCACCTCCCACAATACTGACGATTGTGTCTCGCTAAAGAAAACCATTGAGCTCTTGATTCAACGGGGTGAGCTCCACCAGTTCATAAAAAATGCCCCAAGGAAAAATGCCGGGGAGAACAGCGATAAGAAAGAAGGAGACAAGTTGAGTTGCAGAAAGGGAGCCATTGGCAACTTCAAGACACTACTCCTATTTCCCTCGAGAAACCCTCGGCAAAAGGAGTGGGGGGCTCCTGATGGAGTATATGGCCCGGGACACCCCGAGCCACATACTCCTCCTTCTTCTACACAGGCCCATCAAGCCCGATGAGCACACGAAGCCCAAACGTAGCGGCCCGAGCATGAAGAAGCCCACGCTACACACGTGGATGCCTTCAGCCCTATGGCCGAGGGCTCCAAATTCTGGGAGACATGTTAATATGATCCTGCAAAGCTTCTGGAAAATCCAGGCTAAAATGTTAGCCTTCGGCCACCCGATGCCTTCGACCACACGATGCCTTCGGCCCCTCCGATGCCTTCGGCCCCCCGATGCCTTCGCCCCCCCCCCCCCCCCCCCCCCCGATGCCTTCGGTCACATGATGCCTTCGGTCACATGATGCCTTCGGCCATACAATGCCTTCAGCCACACAATACCTTCGGCCACACGATGCCTTGGACAACATAACTATCAACGAACATTCCTTTTAGAGACAGCCAACCACTGCATTTAATACGACGTCACATCCACCCACCGCATTTAATGCGGTGCACATGCATATGTCGGTGCCACCCCGATTGAAGTGACCCCTCGCTCGTTAGATTGTTGGCACATGTACTCTCATCGCATTTATAACTGCTATAAATAGCATCCTTTATTCACCATTTAAAGGGGAAGGAGTTCACATATCGAATATACGTTCTCTCTCTTACTTATTTGCTCTGACTTCTCTCCAAGTTATTCCCGCAATAACCCCTCGGATAAGCTACCCCCAGGTACACTATCTATCAAACGTATACTAATCAAATTGCTAAATGGGAGAGGGAATTGGTATACTATAAATTTGGAGTTTAGAATTCCATCAAAATCCAGGTATCCTCAATTTAATTATTATAGATTTTTATGGAATCTATTAAAATTCATGTATCCTCAAACATTACATGGATTTTACTTATTATTGATTTTATTGGACTTTGAAAGACTTTGATGGAGTTTTAGACCAAAATATTGAATAACCCAATCCACCAAAATCTCCCTAGTGCCCTTTGGATTTCAAATCCATTATTTTATGGTTCAGCTGAATTTGCTATACAGTTATCTCCAATTCGCTGTATTTGCAAAAGGTCTTCATCACGCAGATATAAATCGCAGCTGCTGTGAAATTTTGAGGCTGCTTCCTTGTAAAAAGTGTTGATGAAAATGCATGACGTAGTTAAAATTTTATTTGCATTTACAACTCTGGTGTATATATTCAATATGTGTTTAAACCATATCGTGAAGCATAATAGCGATTAACATGGAGTCTTAATTACGTAGTCTTATGTAAAAACAAGATGTGGTTTTATGTTTTGAAGCATTATATGTTTTTGAAAAATGCAAAAAAAATGAATAACTCTTTTTATTAAAATATTCCGACGACTTTTGTGACGGCAGTTTACGGTGGCTAAGCTAGTGTGGGGCTTGGGGACTAGGGCAGAGATTTGCACCGGCTTGTATTTCAAATCTATTAAAATCCATTGAAATTCATATGATTCTATAAAATAGAATTCCATGAATTCCATATCGTACAATTCTTTAAAATCATTTAAAATCTGTGTTGGAGACGGTCCATTGGTTTATTCCTTTTTACATTGAACTACCATATAATCTAGGTCTGCCCTGATTTTCTTAATTAGCTATCTTTGAAGCTTTTTCCTGCAAAATTAGGATCTATACTATACTCGTAGTATTTGAAAACACACTACAGTTGAAATCTATACAATATTGGGAAATATCAATGATAGTTTGAAAAATGAAAATACTTCTTAATTAAACCTAGAAGATGTAGTTTTGTATTCACCTATAGTTGCTTATGAAGGTAAGCATAATGCCGTTTTTTGCCCAGTAATAGCTAAAATATTCATTTACAATTTGGAAAATTAAATGTGGTGCAAACTCAAAGTACTCTTTTAAATACCATAAACTTTTACTATTAAATAATTTATCTCAAATCTCTAAATTTTAAAATAAGTCCTTTAAAATAAATCACAAAAGGGTGACCTCCCCTAACTCACTCAAACTCCCCGATTTTAATAAGTTACCTGATGACCATTTCCGCCATGTTTCCAACTTCCAAGGGCAAGCATGAATTTAAAAAACCAACATGAAAATTTGTGGGATTTTTTTGCTTGTTATGATTCAAATGCAATATATTTCATAATGGTGTCGTTTTGTATCGACCAAAGAATAATAATTCAACAATCATCTCTATATTTTCCAGCCTCAGTAAAGTCCAAGAATCTTCCACCAAGCAGCTCCTACTAATCCCCACATTACTATATTAATTACAGCCATTATAATTCCCAATTTGAAAACATCCCGCAACTCTACGTAGCCACCTGCCAAAAACACCTTTTTAATAACATGGCATTACTAATAATACGTATAATTCATCATTATATTGGGTTACAATGCACTTGCAAATTATACTAAATCTTTGTTTCATTTATTTTTAGAGAAGAAATAGACAGGTATAGTTGGGTAAGAGTGAGAAATAGACAGGTATAATGTTTTGTTTTTACTTGGACTGGAATTTTCGAATCTAGTAGATGTCTAGTCTCTGTGTATTTTATAACTGTCAAAGTGTGATTTGTTAAAGTCTGATTTGGAATTGAAAGCAGTCAAGTACAAACATCCTAAAACAAATAGTCAAATACTATACCTAGGTTTTAGTAATTTAGTACCACATCATACTCCCTCCATGAAAATTTCTTAAGTTTCCCTTAACACAATTCACAAGTAAAATTATAATTCATCCAATATTTTAAAGCTCACTACTACATTGGCTTTGACACATTATTTAAGAAGGGCAAGTAATAGGGTAATGAATAGTGCAAAAAAAGTAGGAGGAATAGTGTAAAAATATGAAAGAGAATATGGAAAATAGAAAAGTAAGGGTAATTGTATGCTTTTAAAGGGAAAAGATGACACCCCATCCCTGAGAGCCCCCAACACCGACTGGACGGTACGTTGAAAGGATGTAAATTGGACTATAATCACAATCTGAACAGATAGAGAGTGAGGCTCATCGCAGTTGCCGGGATTCCAACCCGGAACCTAACCCTTGTGGCACTCACCCGCTACCAGTTGAGCTACGCCCACCGGTATGCTTTTAAAGGGAAAACTTACAAAATGAGGAAAGTGTAGTACTGCAGTAAGCTTCTAAATACATCCCAAAAAGGAAAGGATAGCAATCTTTAAAATACGAAGGGAGTACAATTATAGTTGATATAAAAAACCTATATGGAAACACATTTTTTTCTTATAAAGGTACTCTGACAAACCAAAATATGTATTTTGATGTCCAGGCCTGCTTCATGAGGCTCCAAAGAAACCGCTCTGAAAGGACTAGAAATAAGAATCCTAACCTTGTGCTAAGACCTACCTGGCCAAGGAACAGTTCAAGGGAGACAGTTTCTATGGGGCAATGTGAGTTTATATATTTATATTTAGCAAAGGGTTAACTTTACGTATTAGTCACTTATTTTGTGAATGGCGAAGAGAAAAAACAAACCTCCATAATAAACGGCAGCCTGACCGCTGCTATAGTGTGTCAAAGCGCCATTAAGATTAGTGTTGTAGGCCAACGCCAATGCAGCTAACGAGCCGGGGACCTTAGATGCTAAGTGCATCCCCAGAAAGGCAGAGTACATAGCAGCAACATGAGCGGTCTGCCCTGCAAACAAGTAGTGGATGAAGAAATATGCAGCTTGCAGGATAAAAAAAGCTACGGACGAGCTTATAGAATGAGACTTTAGGAAGCCAGCCACTACGTCGGACAACCAGCTTATCACACCCAGAGTGTTCAATTGAGTAGCCATGCCTATTAACACACCGAACCAAGTCAAGGTATCCCATGCTGACTTTTCACTTAGGCAGTCGTCCCAATCTAAAACTCCAAAGATCAAAAGCAAAGATAAGCCCAACATAGCTGTTACTACACTTGCTACCCCTATGGCATCTCTGCAGAAAGAATTTAAAAACAGTATAAAATCTCCATCCATAGATAAAGTTGGTTTTTAAAAATCAATGAAAACAGAACCCATATGTAGCATTGTTTTACTCCAATATCTTTTAAAGCACAGAATTCTCTTCCTATTATTAGATTATAATAATATAAGATAATTTGTTGAAAAGTTTTTTCCACATTAACTAAATATTAAAACATTGGTCTACTGCTGTTATCAAGTATAAGAGTATACCCGATTCATAGTCCTCATGAGTCATGTGAGCCCCACTGAAAAATGCATACTTGGAAATGGTGTGTCAGGTTGTGATAGTGTGTGCCCTAATGAAAAAGACCGCATTGTTCTATGAGAAGTGTGTAGGCCTACAAGAAAAAACTGCTTGATCAAGTCGGTATTTTTGCACCCATGAAAACAGATTGCACAGTCTAGACAGGATGTTGGACCGTTAGAGGTTTGTGTGACTATGAGGAAAAAACCGTATAATCACGACGAAATGTGTACCCTAATGAAAAAGATTGTGAAGTCCAGATGAGATGCCAAACTCTGAGCATGTGTTTGGAGTGTTTGGAGTTTTTCATCATCATTTGCTATCACCCATTAGTAACAATGAAGCAAAAAAATTAGCAGTCATTAAAAAAGAATCATCTTACCCGGCAACCCAGAGTGCAACCATTAAAAGCATGGTTCCAACCATCACCCACTCTCCAGTCTTTATAGGTCCCATTTCATCCATTTTCCTCCTGGCAATTTGTGGGGCCTCGGGCGTCTTCTTCATTTCAGGAGGAAATATCTTATATACAATAACTGGACTTGCTAGAAGAGCGATGACAGATGGGAAGCAGGAAACCTTTAGCCAAGTGAGCCATTTGCTTGAAATCTTAACTCCAAGCCCTTCAGCTAATTTGATGCATAACAGGTTCTGCGCTGCTGCCGTCAGAAAAATGGCACTTGAGTTACACGAAGCCTGCCATGCAACGTCAAGTAAATCCCATCATTATAAACAGAAACTTTCTTTTACAATTAACGGAATCAACTCGAATTAAATTAAATTAAATCAATTCATATCACATGTTAAATCCTCCTGCATAGGTCAAACCGTCAAACATACAAATAAATCCTACATCAGTCAGATATATACACATTAACCCAACACATAAAGTCCTCTTTTATGTGGATCTCATCCTACATGTGTCAAATGTTGGATGCTCTTATAAGTCGACCTCTTCAAATGAATCCTGGTATCTTAATGTGAAAATCAAGTTCAAACGATTAATTTAATTTGGATAAGCATAAAAAATCATTTATATAGTTCAAGAGCATATTCTGTCCCTTCCATAAATAAAGATACTATTTTTTTACAATGAATTAGCGTATTATATCTCATTGGAAAGATAGATCGGAGCTCTAAAGCTATTGTTCCAACTTCATTTACAATGAATTAATTAAAAGTTACAGATTAACCATATATTCACAAATGTTTCTGATTTCCCTCCGAACTCGTATAGAATTTGATGCGATCATATCTTCCTCTATTTTGTGCCGCTGAAAGCGTTTAATATCTCGTTGGAAAGATCTTACCGAGTTCTAGAACTTGTCTTCGGGCGCTGGTTTCAAAATATCAAGGGATGACTTTCTAATTACTAAAATGCACTGTATTTACGCTAAAAGTGCCCTATTTTTGCTGAAAACGCTAAATCATAGAGATAAGGCTAAGTATTTGTGTCACTCATATCTTGCTGTGTGTTTATCCGTTTGGATCGTATTATATCTCGTTAGAAAGATAGATCGGAGCTCTAAAGCTATTGTTCCAACTTCATTTACAATGCATTAATTAAAAGTTACAGATTAACTATATATTCACAAATGTTTCTGATTTCACTCCGAACTCGTGTAGAATTTGAGGCTATCACATCTTGCTCTATCAAGAATTTATATAAAGAAAAAGCTCAAAACGTACTACTTTTGGAGATTCTAAAAAAGTGATTATACGTGACTTTTTTTTTATTGCCACTCATGCCCTAATGACATTGCCTCATATGATACTGATTTTTATGGGGATCTTTTCAATAAAAATTGCAGCTAGGTTGCAGTTGTGAGGCCTAGCAACTGGTCCCGGATCATTAAAAAATGATCCAGTTGAATTGATTTAGAGTTTTAAAATTATTTAGTCACTTGAAATAAAATAAAAGAAGTCATATTTTTTTTTAGAGAAAAGGGGTAAATAAGCTCTCCAAACTATTAGCTTACCGGTGCCGGTAACTACTCAAGAAAAAATTATTATCTTACCGGCACTATCAGGTACAAAATGATCCAATTGCTTTATTTCAACCGATGGATAGATGTATCTGCAAGATCTTTCTATTTTTATTGGCTCAAACTCAAGAAGTAAGAAAGGACCATTGATGTCATTTTTTGTAAAGAAACACTATTGAAATAAAATCAATAGATAACACTAACATTGAATGATAAAGAGACATAATTAAATAAAATGGGGTGACCTGCAATTGAGACTGGACAAGATAAGCTCCGAGCTTCCTGGAAGACGCGTCCTTGGGATGGCTATCAGCAGAGGTGGCGAGCGACTTAATAATGGGTAAGAAAATCCCGCCGGAACGGGCGGTTGTGCTCGGCATAGCCGGAGAAATCACGGCCTCGCTCAAAACCAGACCGTATGACAAACCCAGAGTGCTCTTCCCGAGCAGCCGAACAAACAACATGGCCACCCTGTCTCCGAGCCCGGTCTTGATGAACCCTCTGGAAAAGAAGAAGGAGCAGACGATGAGCCAAATCACCTCGTTTGTGAAAGCAGAGAAGGCGGCGGAGAAAGTCAGGGTTTTGGTCAGCACGGCGATGGTGAGGCATGTGAAGGCCCAACCGCCGACGGGGAGTGGGCTGAGGATGAGGCCGGCGATGGTGGTGAGGAAAAGGGCGAGGAGTTGCCACCCCTGTGTTGAGACTCTGCTGGGCTTAGGCACGGCAAAGCGAAAGATAAGGCCGATGGAGATTGATATTATCAGAGGAATGGGCTTGACGCCCTTCCAGGGAGGGAGCGAAAATCCACGGCGGCTTGTGGTGGTGGCCCCGGTGGTGTCAGGGGATATTGGCATGATTGGTGGTCAGGGAGGTTGAGGGCGGTGGTGGAGGAAGATTCAGGATGAGTTCACAGCTGACGCTGAGAACGAATGGTGGGACCATAATGGGCCACCTCTACCTTTGATGACGTCTATGTATCGGATTTAAATTCGGTACCGCGTGAAATTATGAAGGAAATTTTTACGGAAAATTGTCCGTAAACGATTTTTTAAGGAAAAACTATCTAATTAAGTCATGAAAATGATCAAATAAACTCTTCTAATATTACAAAAGCGTAATATAAGGTCATGTATTTAATAAATTATCAGATAAATATGTTTACTTATAAAAAGTAATCAGATGAGTCAAAATGATCCGTTGACAACCTCCTATTTCCGATTTTAACACATGTGTTGTTATTTTTATCTTATATTTAAGTCAATCCTTGTCAAATTATCATGTCGGCTTATAATCTAGTTTAAAAAAATTAGTCTATACCGTGAAACTGGCGCACCATGAGGATGGTGCGCCCGATTGCAAAACGACGCATCATGCTGCTATATTTTTTTTTTTTTGCTTTTGCTGTTAAAAAATGATAATAACTTTTTTATTTTTGATCCTATTTTTATAAAATTTCTATCAACATTTTTTATTTTTTATGATCTTTCAAATGAGACCGATATTGCTTATGTAATTTTAAGAAATTATCGAGCTATTATATTAATGAGTATTGGATTATAAGGAAAATCGAATCTGTTTGGAAGATGATAGGTTTGTGAAATAGAAGATCGAATCTGTTTGAGAGTGGATCAGTGGCCTCAGTTACATTTGATAATACATTGAGTTACATCTTTTTATGAGCGGGTTACATCTTTTTATAATCAAGTTACATCTTTTTATAAGCGAGTTACATCTTTTTATAAGCAAGTTACATCTTTTTATAAGCGAGTTACATATATATACACACGAGTTGCATTTGACATGCCTGAACGCGACTTACATATATTTACACGTAAAGTTACATATTTTTACACGTAAAGTTACATATTTATACACGCGAGTAACATATTTATACACATGAGTTGCATTTGATCTGTCTGAACGCGAGTTACATATTTTTTTACGTAAAGTTACATATTGTTACACGTAGAGATGCATATTTATACACACGAGTTGCATTTGGCCTGACTGAACGTGAGTTACATATTTTAACACGTAAAATTACATATTTTACACGCAAATGTTAATATGTTAAAATTACATAGGCAATATTGGTCTCATTTGAAAGATCGTGAAAAATAAAAAATGTTGATATAAATTTTATAAAAATCGGATTAAAAATAAAAAAATTATTACCATTTTTTAAAAAAGAGAAAATAATATCCAATGGGTGCATGGTGTCCACCATGCACCCGTTGCACGGTATAGGCACTCCTAAAACCATGATTACGAGGTTGTCAATATGTCATTAGGATTCATGTGGTTGCTTTTCATAGGTAGATTAGTCACTTCATGCAATTTTCAACACAACTTTCACCACGGTCATCTAGAAATGGTTTTTCTGTGCTTTAATACATGTGTGAGGCTGCGTACATCCAGGGCCGGTCCTGAGAAAATTGAGACCCTGTGCAACAAATAAAAATTGGGCCCTTTTCAAGTTCCAAGTAAGTAATTTGTATTAAAATACAGGTTACTAATGAACACAATAACATAAATAAAAGTAGCCATTAATAAAATACTTTCATTTAAAAAGACACATTTTTCTGGCTTATTTAGAGGCAAAGTCATCTGCCAAATACAATTATTGAAATTCTCTTGTACATGTATAAAAACTCTAGCTTAAAATTCAATTTACATTTTCGGTGAAATTATGAAATAATTATAATTTATAAACCTAAAGATATACTTAGTAGTTACGTAATAACATATTTACACCAATTTCTTAAATCTTAATTGAATAATTGTTAAACACGCTTATTCTCAGTTGCAAATAGGCACAACAATTAGGCAACAAGTAGGATAACAACAAGAACAAACTAATTTCACTAATTGCAATTCAAAGAATCAAAGAAATAAAAAAATTATTTCTGGTAGGGCGTTGTGCACCCGTTTGGACGGACAGCAGTGGCGGCTTTGAGGGCAGTTGGGCCAGGCAACTGCCTTGGGCCTCAACTGCCAAGAGGGCCTCCAAAAAATTCTACTCCGGTATTAGTATTAGGTGTTATTTGTAAACAGCCAATACATCGAGCGATAACTGCAAGCAGAAATCGGCTTCATAGTTCACTTCTGACTATCCTTCCTTCATCAAAATTGTAGTTAATGAAGTCTTCTATCCAACACAACTTGCAAAACTGGATTTGAATCATCCAATCAAAATATATGAATAAAATGGTGGAAGGTCGCATTCTGAAATCTCAACAGAGATTATCTGACTTCATCGTCTTTTTTGACCTTGCTTCTCTCATATTCTCGCAATGGTGTTTTCATATGATTTGTAGCCCTTGAAGTTGGCTTTAATATGAAACTTGAATGGTGTTCTTTGGATGTTCCTAAGAAAATATATGCTTGAACGATTGATAGAACGTCATCCTGACCGCTCTTTTCAAGCCCTATTCGTCTTCTTTTGATCTCGTACCTAATTTTAGAGCTCTTTTGTCTTCAAAACTTTGTCTTTAACACCTCACTGACCTCCCATGCTCCTAATCAACTCTCAAATTCTTCTCAACTCGTCCCTATTGCTTCTCAAACGCCCATGTCGAACTCAAATTCCCCGATTTTGACTCCAAAAATACCAAAACTCGAACCAACGTCCGGTACATATGACTTGAGCTTAAAATTGAGACTTATGAAGTTATTACTGATTTTTCACTTCAAAAGGTATGAATAATAGGCCAATAGGGTGTTACAAGTATAAGTTTGCCCTTGTGTTTTGCATATGTTTGCATTTAAAAATTTATCCTTTTGAATATTACAAACATTATATCGTGAACTTTGAATATGCTTTTTTTCATAAGGTGATTTTTATTCAATTTATCTGATTTTAAAAGTGATTTGTACATAATAAATATTTTTCGTCTGGGGCCTCCGAAATGCTCAAGCCACTTCTGACGGACAGTGCGCTCGTGATTTTAAAGGCTTGAGAAGGGACGTGGTTGCGCGGTGGCAGGCTAGAGGGCGTCGCTAGCTCGCTGCGAGGCATCGAAGCTCGTCTTCTCAGGGGGGCGGATCCAGGAATGAGAGGTGGGGTGGGCTTAAGCAGTAAAAAAACTTGTTACTACATATACAAGGTTTAGCTTAGGGCTGTTAGTATGTTACCAAATCGAGCTTTTTTTGAACTATATACTCGAGTTCGAGCTTGATTTCAAATCTAATGTAATCACCCGAGCTTAACGAGCTTCGAACTTGAACACGTACTAGATATGAATAATTATTGAAATCAAGTTCGAACATAGTGATGTTTGGTTCGATTCGGACTCGAGCCTATTGTTCACTTATAAATTATAGAAATAAATTATATTAGCTCGGTTCTTTTTTAGTTGCAACATTGGTGAATTTCACACTATTCAGATATTCTACTTTGACTATATTTTATTTCTTAACGTATTATAAATTATATTTTTGAAAAGTATTTGTTGAATTCCTCTTGTTTTAAAATTTTAAATCTGAAATTTGTAAGAAAAAAATAACTTTTGTACACAAAACTAAAGTATCCCAATTTCAAAATTCAATCGAAATTTTAAATTCTTTCTTACATGTCTACACATTAAATAAATCATTCTCTAATCTTCAATTGTATAAAAAACATTCTCTTATATTTAATTCTATCTTTAATCATTATAAATTTATAATGAATTAAAATAGATTTACAAATGATAATACGGAGTTTTACAAAACTAAAAAATAATACGAGTAATACAAAGTACACAATAGCACAAAGTCACATAATAATACAATTTTTAACAAATAAAACACAATAGCACAATCGTTATGTGCCCTCTGCGTTTATCAAGTATTCTTCAAGTAGATTACCAATGTTTCACAAAATTATACAATGTTTAACAAATAATGCAATGTTTAATCAAGAAAAAAAGGTCTAAAAGAGTATAAAAATTTAGAGTATACCTGGAGCTGGAGGCAGAGCCGCAGAGGGCAGAGTCGGACTCGGTCACTCGGAATCATAGAAGGAAGACGGCTGATGCAGGGCCCTGGAGCGTGGAGGGTGGGCGGCGGCGCAGCTGGTGGCCACAGGTTGGATGGTGTCCGTGTCTCCTTCGTAGCTCCACTAAGCTCTTCGACCTTCGTGCTTCGCAGTTCCGCTGCTTCCAAACTTCCGCCAGTTCGCACAAGGAGCTGTTCGCAAGTTTGCTTGAGTGGTTTACTCTGGTACAAGGCTTGGGGTGGGCTGGGATTAATTTTGGGGTGGGCTGTATATTTGGGCTATACCTATACTAATTAAAAAGAAAATATTTGGGCTGGGCTATAGCCCACCACTGCCCTCATTATGATCCGCCTCTCGCGGGGTCTTCTAGTCTTCCGCACTCCGCAATTCGGAGTTCATTATTCATTCGTAGCTCTGTTTTTCCTATTCGCAGGTCATAACAAAAAACCTGGGCTAAGTAATACTACTAATATTTTTTATTTTTGGACCTTCTAAAATATTGGGCCTTGTGCGATCGGTCTGGGTAAACTTGCCCTGTGCCGGCCCTGCATACATCTGACCCCTTACGGTCTTACCCCATCGTAGGTGAGAGCCTTTATGAATTACGACATTAGAGTAATGATGATGATGATTACGAGGTTGTCAATATGTCATTATGATTCATCTGATTACTTTTCATAGGTAGATGTATTTTTATGACAATTTATGAAGTAAAAACATGCCTTATACATGTTTTTACTTGGATTGTTTGAATTCTCACCAAATCAGATTAGACTTAAATAAAATAGAACATATCAAATCACGCTTAAACAAATTAGAACAGATTAGGCTAGACCAGACTTCCATCATCATCATCATTACTCTAATGCCGTAATTCGTAAAGGCTCTCACCTACGATGGGGTAAGGTTGTAAGGGGGTCAGATGTACGCAGCCTCACACGTGTATTAAAGCACAGAAAAACCATTTCTTGATGACCCGTGGTGA